GTGGTGACCAACCGGGCGAATATCCCGGCGATAGACCGCTTGCATCAGAAGCGGCAGACGGCGAAAAGCCGGCCGATGAAGGAGTCATTCCGAGCCCCAGTCCGGGTGACCAGGCCTGGCCATAGGCGGGAGTGGCCCCCTGTGCTCCCCAAGGAGTCATCTGTGGTGTCATACCAGCCAGTGATGGCGAGTCAGCGCTGCCGAAGAAAATTCCGGTTCCTATAAATTAAATGTAATTTATTGTTAACAGAATCTCTCGATTAGTATTTTAAAACACTTACCCAATCCTCCCATTCCTGGAATATTTGTTGGTATTTCAATGCCCAGTTTGCACTTATCCGGGTCCAAAAGCATGCCGAAAGCCCCGGTGCCGATCTTCGACAACTGTCCGAGCATTATATTCTCGGAAACGCCCCTCAAGTGGTCGACCTCCGCATGAGAGGCCGCATCTATCAACACATCGACCGTCTCTTCAAAGGAACAGCGCATAAGAGCGCCGACGTCTTGACGATTGATTCCGTGGCGAGTGATTGCCATGAGATGGCCCTTCGCTGTCATTACGTCACACAAAAGGGCTAAATGTCGGTAATTAACGTAAGAACCGTCAAAACTGAGCACATGATTCATCTCTTTCTCTACGGCTTTCCGGACGGCTTCGATACCAAGGGTTGCAAAGATCTCGCAGATATCGTTAGAGTAGGTGCGGACGGGATCCACATCGGGTTCCGACAGCACACGCATTAGTGATGTGCCGTCGGTCTCGAGAAGATAGTCGGCAATGGCTTTGTATTCTCCCGTATCAGTGATTACAATACGTTTCTGGTTGTCAGTCATCGGTAAATGCATATATACTTTGACTATGCTTTCAATTCCCTATTAAAATGTTAATGTTTTTTATAAAGAGTTTACAATTTATACTTTCTTGAGAGGAGAATACCTGAAGAGTTATATCTGATAACATTGAGGACTCAATACATCTGAGGAAGACGTCGTCCTCCATCTTATCGACCTGTTCTTCTTCTTCCATCTTCTCCTCTGAGTTCATAATACGGATCCGAAGTACGAGTGTCTCCGCGTTATCGTCGTTGAAGATACAGTTCAAGTCCTCTCCAAAGCCGGCGTTAATCTTCTCGGCGATGGCTTCCATCGTCAGCTTCTTGTCTGTCATCCTCTTTCGGTCCAATTCTATGCGTAGAAGCCATGGACTGATGCGAGAGGTGTCAAAGTCTGGCATTTCGTAGTAAACGTTCACAAACTCCTGATCCTCAACGATAACGCTGTTGAGAGGGTCGGGATCGTAGTATATGGCAGTATTGGCCGTCACTTTACGCAGAGTCGTGTGTTCTAAACGGCACAACACATCGTTGGCCTTCTCGGCGTTTTTTGTGGCCGCGCCCGTCAGGAAGACAGTCAGTGATGGAGTTTTTGGTTTCTTTGAAATGTTAATGATTTCTTTGAGTCGCGGAACGCCTGATATTTAAGGAACAAAAACTCTTTAAAACCATTTAATAATTTTATTTTAAAAACCAATTATCAATACCTAAAGTGACGTTCTTAGCGGACACACCGGCGTAATGGAAAGTATTGAGTGTCATTTGAGTGGCCGGTTCTCCGAGGGATTGGGCGGCCAATGGACCGACCATTTCTCCCGGCTGTACCTGTGATTGTTGGAAACGGGTCTCAATCTCACCGATCAGCCAATCAAATGCTTCGCTGGAGAGCCGGTCCTGTTCTGTGATCTTTCGGGTGCATAGCGTTGACCGCAAAAGTGTCCGGAAAAGTAGTGTTGCATTTTGATTGGCCTGAACTGACAGTCTGTCCTCTCCCTTCACAATTGTGAGTCGTTTGACGAGTCCCTCAACGCTGTCGATCACTTTGAGGGGCGAGAGGTCTGTCTGTCCCCTGAGGTTCACGTGAAAGATCTTCTGCGCGTTCCATATCATGCGGTTTAGATTACACGGCATATGAATCCTTGGGTCAGATGTCGGGAATATTGTCCGCAATATCTCGCGATCGGCTTTCAAACGATCCCATTCTAGTTCCAACTCAGAGAGCGACGAACTGTTGCCAAGTACTTCCTGCACCACTTCTTCCGTGAAGATTCTTTACATACAATTTATAGGGTTTAAGAAATTCAATCACAAATTTTTAAAAAAAATAATAACTCAATTAAATGGTCATTACTTTCGCAAATAGTGTTCATTAGTGACATCAAACTTAAACCTCTCTTTCAATGCTTTGTCGCTGGGCTTAAGGGTCGGCAGGCTTTGTAACTCAACGGCCACGCCATCCAAGCCGTCCTCTCCGTAACGCAATTGAATGACCTGACCGTTAGAGTTACGGACAGTACCGTCATATGTGACCATAACTGACTCCATGGCTTTGATAAGTCGGCGCTGAATATAACCAGTTTCGGCCGTTTTACAGGCCGTATCGATCAGACCTAAACATCAAACAAACAAAATTGATTGATACATATAAAGTGAAACAATTATTGACAAAATGTTTGGACACAAACCTTCGCGACCACCCATGGAGTGGAAGAAGAACTCGGTTGGTGTCAAACCGGCCAAATAGGAGTTCTCGACGAAACCCCTGGACTCCGGGCCGTAATCGTCTTTAATAAAGTGCGGAAGAGTTCGCTTCCGGAACCCAAACGGTATACGCTTTCCCTCGACGTTCTGTT